AAGTTTCCCCATGTAAACACACACCAGGCGACAGCCCAGAAGCTCTTGGAGATGAGAATAAGTAGGGGTGCTGTCCTTGATCTGTTTTGTTTTGCTTGGGGCCTGGTGTTGCTCAGGGCTTACTCCTGGCTCTGTGCTCACTTCTGGCAGGGCTCGGATTCCATATGTGGCTCTGGGGATGGAACCGGGGTGCAAGGCAAGCGCCCTGCTCGCTGTACTGTTCTCTCAGTCTCCCCGGCTCAGGCCGATGCTCGCTCAGCCCACAATGACCCGAGCCACTTCCCCCTCTCAGGGCGTCTGGGCCCACTCCACCCCCAGCCTGGAGATAGCCTATCTGCCAACACCCTGCCCTCGGGCCCCTCCTCAGGCTGCCGGGGTGACCCTCCTCCGCGACGTCCCTCCCCCTGGAACTCTCCTCTGAACACCTCCCTTGGGGCTGGCCTCCGATGGCTCTCAGGCCTCCTGTGAACCTGTCTCAGCCTCAGTTTCCCCACTCATCACCGGGAACTAATGGGCCTGCATGGCCGTCTCCCGGGTGCATGGCTGGCGATGTATAAAGGAATGTGGGACATAGGGCATTGGACCCCAACCTTGTGCCCCTAAAGGCCTAGCTGCAGAGCCTGTGGCCACCTCAGCCAGCTCTCTCCTAGTTCCGAGTACAAAGAATCAGCTCCACGGAGCTCCCCGAGGGCCAGTCAGGGCAGGCCTGCAGCAGGTCACATTCCCGGTGTCTGGCCAGCACCAGCTCTAGCCATAGGGTACAGGTGAGCGTGGGCACCACTGAGCGTCTTGCTGGTCTCCGCTTCCATTTCTGTACAAAGCATGGGTTGAACTGAAGCTCAGGATGGCAATAGGCAATATTTTTGAGCCCAGAACTTACTAAAGCTAATGTCCAGGGGGCTGGAGCAATAGCACAGCGGGTAGGGCGTTTGCCTTCCACGCGGCCGACCCAGGTTCAATTCCCAGCATTCCATTGGGTCCCCTGAGCACTGCCAGGATGCCAGGAGTGATTCCTGAAAGCAAAGCCAGGGGGAACCCCTGTGCATTGCCGAGTGTGACCCAAAAAGCAGAAAAAAGAAAAAAAGCTAATGTCCAGACTCCAACAGGAACCTGAATGTGAGATTGGCCGAAGCAGCTCGCAGAGACCCCCAGACCTTCCTCTCTGGCTTTGGGGTCCTGAGATTCCAAGAGGTCCCTGTGTGAGGGTCAATGATGAAGTTTGTTTCTTTTTTTGGGGGGGGTGGCACATCTAGCAGTGCTCAGGGGATACTCCTGGCTCTGCACTTGGGGGTTACCCCTGGCTGGCTTGGGGGATCATATAAGATACCAGGGATTGACCTGGGTCGGCTGCATGCCAGGCAAACGCCCTACCTGCTGTGCTATCGCTCAGGCCCTGAATTGTGCAGTGCAACGTTCTCCCTTCTCCATGGTGGCCGGAAGGTGACCGGAGGAGGTGGGCTTTCGTGGGGTGGGGGTGGGGGAATCAGAGAGGAGCTGCTGGGGCCGGGGGAGGGGGATTTTGCGCTGTGGTCAGTCTGTTCTGGGGACTGAGGCCCTCTCCTCTCCCTCTGGCTCTCACTGACAGACAAACGGGGTTCAGGAAATGCCAAGTGGCACGAAGAAATGAAGGAATGAATGATGAGAGGAAGGAAGTGAAGGTTTCACTGCCGGAGATTGGAAGCGAGGGACCTCCTCTGACCTTCCAAACACAGACACATGGGGGCGCTGCTCTTTCCACAATCCCAAAACCCTCCCTGCCCCCTCCTCCCCCCAGACACCCCCTCCCCCCAGGAGCCTGAGATGGGAGAGGAGAGGGTGGAGGCTGGAGAAGGCAGAGACCTAGATTCAGAACTGGGAGCTGGAGCAGGGTGGGGAGGGGAGACCAGAATGTCGGAAATCTCTGCAGGGGCCCAGGATGTGGGGGTAGCTTGCCTGCCGGCCCTCGGCCCCCCTTCCCACCTGCCTGGCCCGGCTGGCCCCTCCCGCCCCCGCCCACGCGCTGCCCAGATCAGAGCTCAGGAAAGGAGACCGGGACCAAAATAACCTCCCGCCTGAAGGGAAGCAAAAGCCTCGGAACCTCTCCCGCTCCTTCCTGAGGGCAGCCCTGGCTGACTCCCACCCGCCAGACCCCCTCCTCTCTGGCCGGAAGCTGAGCCCTCTCCTGACTTGGGAATCAGTTCAGTGGGTACAGGTGGCTGGGGAGGCGGAAGTCAGGTGTGCCCGTGGGATTGCTCCCACGCCTGCTCTCCCTACCTGCTCCCCCCAGCACCAGGAGAACCCTGGGGCTGGGTTTGGGGGAAGAAAGGGGTAGGGCCAGTGGTGAGTAGGGAGAGGAAGTGAGATGAGCTGGGGCAGGGTTTGAATTGCGGCTCCGAGTATGTTACTTTGGACCCAGAGCCCAGAGCCGTGAGCCAAAGGGAGCTTCTGCCTGGGCACCTTTCAGGGCACCCTGCCTGGTCCTGTGGGCACCAAGCAGATGGAGAATCCCCCATCAGCCCTTTCTCAGCCGCCCCACCCCTGGGGCCCAGGTGCTGACCACCTCGTGGATGCGATGCCTGTGGGGCCCCCTGGGGCTGCCCTGGGAGCTGAGGGCTCAGGTCCTTTAGGACCAGGAGACCAAGGCTGGGCGTGGAACCGGGCAGCGTGGAGAAGCCGGGGCTGGGGTGCGTGTGCAAACCCAGACCCTTGGGTTTGTGTGTTCCTTCACATCATCCCGCGCCCCCTCTCCTCACTCCACCCCCCTGGCATCCCGCCCTCCCCCTTCCCCAGCCTGCATCTGCTGACACCAGGGAAGCTGAGGAAGGAAGCTTCTAAGGGGGAAAGCCCAGCGCCTCCTCCCTGCGCATCACCCCAGTCTGTTTTCCACCTGAGAATAGACATAGCAGCCATCAGGGAAGACAAGGAGAGATAGACTGGGCTGTGCCCCTTGGTAGATGGGTAAACTGAGGCCAGGGGCGAGAACATACCTGGCCTGGGTCATCCAGCCAGAAAGGAGAAATTAGCTTTTGGCTGATTCCACTCTGGGTCAAGGCTCTTTCCCCTGCAACCGGAGGGCCCAGGAGTACCCTGCGCACACGGTCCCTCACCACACCCCAGAACTCAGCAGCCGGTGTGCAGTCCCCACCGCCTGCCTCCTGCCCCCACCACAGAAGCTGGGGTGGCCCCTACCCTGGCCAACTGCCCTCTCAAACTGGCCAGTGGAACCCCCACCCAGAGGCCTGACTATGAGACCATTGGGGGGAAGGCCAAGGGAGGGGAGGAAGAGGCCTTGTTGGGCTTTATGTCACCCAGAATAGAGGGACAAACCACCTACAAGTTAGGTATCCTGCAGATGTCTCAGCCACATGCTGGAAACCATGGTAAGAATCATATGGGGGGGAAGGGGTGACTCATGGTCCCCCAGGAGTTGAAGATGCAACTGAGAGTCAGGTAGGGTCACCCTGATGGGCTATGGCCCCGGGGCCCCAAACTGGGTGTGCCTGAGTGCAGATTTCTCAGGGAGTGAAATTTAGGAGAGAAAAAAGTTCCCTGGCCCCTGAACGCCTGGAGCCCGCAGGGGGGCAGGGCGCCAGGGCAAAGCTGCGGGCTGCAAAAATGGGGAGTTCTGGGGCTGGAGGGTGGGGGCGGGGAAGTGGACGCACCAGCATGCGGCCGAGGGATGGGGCTGTCTGCAGGGGAAGTGGAGGCCAGGGCTAGGGCATTCACACTTCCTACTTTCTCCAGCCAGGCTAGCCGCCCCAGGCGCCGATTTCACGCTCCCCTGAAGGCAGAAACGGAAGTTCTCTTTCCACGGCCGGCTTTCTCCTCCTGCGGCGATCCCAGCCTTTCCCGATGCCGCCCCACCCGGCTCATCACTGCGCGCGGGTGCAGAGCCGGGAAGGAGCCGCGCGCTCAGCCCATTCTGGGCAGAAGTCCTTCTGGCCCACGCCGAGGGCCAGCACGAGGGTAGTGGCCACGGCGCCCGGCGTGCCCAGGCGGCTCCCCTCCCAGCACACCTGCCCGGTGTCCACTTCCCGGGTCCTTGGTCCCCGCGGGTCGGTCCCGCGAAGCCGCTGCAGGATGCAGGAGGAGAGGGACGCAGTGGGACGCGGGAACAAAGGGTGAAGTCTGGGGGAAAGCCGGGAGCCGGGTCCTTCCCCTGGTCCCCTTGGGGCCTGCTGCATCACCTGGGGACTGCCGTCCATCTCTTGAGTCCGTGCTTCGGCGTCCACAGCAGGGATGGATCCCTGATGGCCGAGGGGCCGTGCTTTGAGAAGGGAGGAGAGAAAATGGGCACGAGGGGGCGCAGGTGACCCGAGCAAGCTCATCCCGCCTCCGCGCCTCAGCATGCAGGTCTGTAAAATGGAACTGGGGCTCGACCCCAGGAAGCTCTAGGGAAAGGGCTGGAATGACTCAGGATGGAGCCTGCGGAGGATGATGAGGAGGCGGCGGCGGCTGGCGCCTGCCCCCGCGCCAAGGCCGGGCACCCCGGGTGCCGGGGCGCGTGCGTCTCCGGGGGCAGTGGGGCAGGGGCCCGGGGGCGTGGGGGTCGCCGCAGTCCGGCCGGCGAGGGCGCGGCGGCTCTCACCCAGATTCACTTCCTTTGTCTGGGAAGAGGGTGGGGGAGGAGACGGGGGGGCGGGGAGGGGCCCGCGGGTGCCGGTGCCGCGCCCCCGCCCCCTCCCGGTGTGCCGAGCCCGATTGTCACTCAGCTCCCGCGCCGGGGGCGAGGCGAGTCCCGAGCAGCCCGCAGCCACCGGGCCCGCGCGCGCTGGCCTCGCGCTCCCCCGGGCATCCCCGGGAAGCGGGCGCTGCGGGGGGCGTCGAGCGCGGGCGGGCGCTGGGGCGGCCGTGGAGGTGTCGGGGCGCCCTGCTCGCCCGGGTGACCTTGGGTAAGTCTGTGCCGCTGGCGGCCCCGGGGCTCCCCAGCGGGGACGCGGGAGCGGGCAGGAAGAGGGGGGACCCCGCGACCCTTCCCAGGTCCCCTCGGGGCGAGGTTCCTGGCGGACCCGGACGCAGGAGCCGCGGGGTGGGCGCCGGGCAGGGGCGCGCGCGCGGGCTGGGGGCGGGGAGCCCGCGGCCCGGCCTGGGGGTGCAGGGAGCGCGGCCCGCGCCCCGCGTCGGTGCCGCCGGGGCCAGGTGCGAAAGTGGGTGCTACCTCTTTAAAAGCGTCCGGGGCCGAGCCCGGCCGCACCATGTGATTGCCTGAAAGGCCGGGCCGGGAGCGCTGCGGCGGGAGCCCGGGGACCATGAGCCGCGCGCTGCCCGGAGCCCAGCCCTGCCCGGCGCGGCCGCGCAGCCCAGGGCGCCGCCAGGTGCCCCGAACTCCGGGCCCCGCCTCTGGGACCCTCTGGCGGCCAGCAGGCAGCACGGTGAGCTCTCCGCACTCTTAGGCTCCGGGTGGGCAGAGTCAGGCGTGGAGGACCCCTGTGGGGTGTGTGCGCGCGGGGAGCTTGCCTGACACCCGATAAAACGGCCGGTGGCGGAGCCGGCGCTGCTATTTTAAGTGACTGAATGGAACCTCTGGGGATAAGGGGAGGGGACGGAGATTAGGCAGAGGAAGGGCCGGTGCCTTGCCAGCTGGGGCAGGTACGCCAAGTGCCCAGCTGGGCAGAGCTCCAAGCAGCCGAACGCCCGGCACTGCCTGGGCCTCCCCTTCGCTCCACGGCCGGCCTCCCTACCCAGGTTTCCGTGACCACAGGTGCCTGCCTCGTGCCCCTCGGTGCCCGCCTGCTGATGTGCCCAGCCCGTGCCCGCCATGCCGCCCTCCATTTCGGCCTTCCAGGCCGCCTACATCGGCATCGAGGTGCTCATCGCCCTGGTCTCGGTGCCCGGGAACGTGCTGGTGATCTGGGCGGTGAAGGTGAACCAGGCGCTGCGGGATGCCACCTTCTGCTTCATCGTGTCGCTGGCGGTGGCTGACGTGGCTGTGGGCGCTCTGGTCATCCCGCTGGCCATCCTCATCAACGTCGGGCCCCAGACATACTTCCACACCTGTCTCATGTTCGCCTGCCCGGTCCTCATCCTTACCCAGAGCTCCATCCTGGCCCTGCTGGCCATTGCCGTGGACCGCTACCTCCGGGTCAAGATCCCGCTCAGGTCAGTCAGTCCCTGGCAGCCCTGGGGGGGATGGCGGGGTGGAGGCCCAGAGGGACAGCACCCTCCCAGGGAGGTTCAGGGTGGGGGGTGGGGTGGTGCTCCCTGCCTCGCCTTGCCCTGCTCTGTCCTGCAAGGCTGGCTGAGCTCCAAGGCTGCAGGAGGGGCTGGGGGCACAGGAACTCGGTGGGCATCCGAAGCTGGGGTGGGAGGATCTTAGAGGGGAACCCCTGACGGGCAGAGCCAGTGCTGCGTGGGGCACGCTGAGCCCCGCGGGGGCTTTTGGGAAGTGGGGGGACCCGGCAGATTGCAGTGTGGGTGAGGATGAGCTGAGGGGCCCCCCTCGCTGGTCCTGCCTCCTCCTCTGCTTCTTCCTGAGCACATCCTTTGGTTCTCTTGCGCCTTGGGTACCACCGTGCCGGGCAGCTCCCCTTCCCCAGGCAGTCAGGCTGCCCCACCCCACGAAGGGGCTCCGGAGCAGGCTGGAGGCTGGAGGAATGTGGGCGGCATCTGCGCCTGCTGCAGCCCGCGTGTGTCTGCCGGCTGGTCCCGCAGAGGCGCTTCTGCTGCCTCCAGACGGCCCTGGGAGGCGGTGGTGGGGGGATGGTGGCTGTTCTCAAGCGGGGTCCGGCCCAGACTGGGGCTCCTTTCCCAGGCAGTGCCGGGGCCAGCAAGTGCCAGCAAATGCCTGGGCTCTGTGCCAGGGCCGGCCCTGCTGGGACTCTCATGCGTGTCGTGCCTGTCTCTCTCTTACATCTTGTCCCTCGAAGATTCTTCTCCAAGGCAGCACTGGCCAGGTCCGGCTGGTGCCACCTGATCCCCCAGAGTAGCCTCCGTGCCCGGACACCGGGCCTCTGCCTTACATGGCAACTTGCCTGAGCAGACCTGGCACCCACATCTCTCCTGAGCTGGTCTCCGCGTGCCGTGTTCTCCTGCAGGGGGGTGCCCTAAGAGCTGGCTATGGCGAGCCGAGCCCAGCCCCCTTCCTGGTCTTCCCGGGCCAGTACCTGGAGTCCAGTGTCTGTCCATCGCCTTCTCCTCTCTAGCGCCCATGTTTCCCGGGAAAGCCAGGGCCTGAAAGACTGCTATCCTGGAGAGAGTGTGGGTGGGGAATCCCCCCCAGGAACACGGTCTGGGCTGCCATGTGCCTGGGAAGCTGAGCTCTGCCCTGGAGCATGACCATGACTCGGAAGCACGGTAGCGTGGCTGTGTGTTCACGTCAGGAAAATCTTCAGATAGGCTGCTAGAAATGCTGTCTGCGGCGTGGATGCCCTACCAGGGCCTGCTCCTGGTGAGGAGGTCATGGGATGCCCAGTGGCCCTCCCTGCCCAGTAGACAGGAGCCACTGGCCCCACAGACCCACCTCCAACCTCCGCTGCTCTGGCCCCAGCTCCACCTGCTGGGGCCAAGAACAGAGAGGACTGAGTGCCGGGTGTAAACCTTTGCTGTGAATTTCTGGCTGTGCCACCTTGGGAAGTCGCCAAATCACTTCACAGATCTCCCGCTGAAACTTTGATGTCCTCGTCTGTATAGGATGCCCGTGACCTGGAACCGTCTCCCCAGGCTGAGGATAATCTCCCGTCTGTGCTACGTGGTGGCTCATGGCGCTAGAGCACAGGCTCTGCATATCAGGCCTGACCTCAGAGCACTCAGCTGGGAGGAGCCCCTGAGCATGGCAGGATGTGGCCCTGAACCAAAAGCAAATGGATGAAGCACTGGTTGCTGTCTGACGTAGCTCATGTGAGCCGTAGATGGTTAGTTAGACTCGTGTCTAGAGTTTCATCCATGTGATTGACATGGGCTCCCCGTGGGGCTGAAGCCCGAGGCCTGCCCCCGCTCACACACCCGGGTTCCCAGGAGGGGAGGGGTGCTGCTGCCTTCTGGCTGCAAGCGTCTCTCGGTGGCGTGTCTGTAGAAGGGCAGTGATCTGGCTGCGACCAGGTTTGATCTGTCTCTGCCGATTGCTCTGCCCGGCACAGTTTCCGACACAGAGTGGACACAGTCCATGATGCAGAAGTTTCTAGAACCTTCCAGATGTCCAGCCTCTAATCTTCCCGCAGCCCAGCTGTGGTGGCAGTGCCTACCCACCAGAGGAGCCATTCCCTAGAGGGAGCGAAGGGCCTGCAGGGGCACCCAAAGCTGAGGGTGTGCCCCCCACCCCCCTCAGGCCCTGCCTGTCACTGCCCCAGGTCCCTATAGGAGAACCAGCAGAGTCTCTGCTGGGCGACCGGGCTCAGTGGACTGCTAGGTCAGGCGGGGGGGAGGGGCGGGAGGGGGGTACCCTCGGAGTCCCTCTCTGAGCTCTGACAAGCCGGTGAAGACAAATGTGACCCTGGTCACCGGATATTAGACTGACCAAGCATTGCTGGCTGGGCCCCTCACCCGGACAGGCGGTTTGGTCACTCAGCCACAAAATGTATTTCCTTCTTCCTGGGAGAAAGCCAGGAGAGTAAACAGGTAGCGTGATCCCGTCACCCAAACCCAGAAAAGCACAAGTCAGTGATTCATCAGAAACCTGTGCTCATTTCCCTGCTCTGCGCCTCTCGCTCCCCGCCTCCCCCCGCGCCTGCGTCTCAGATCCCCCACCTTCCCCCTGCTCTGCCCCCACCCCAGGTTTTCTCCGTGGCCCTCGGGAGTGGTGGTGCCTCCTCCAGGTGGCAGGTTATGGGGAACATCGACAAGGGGTGAGCGGGAGCCCCAGGTGGCGGCTGGTGTTGGGGAGTTGGAAGGACCTGCGTTTGGGTCTGGCTCTGTCACTCACAGCTGTGCATTCTTGGAGGAGGGACGCGGCCTCTCTGAGCCATTTCTTTCCATGGTCTGTGACTTGGGGCTGGATGGAGGTCTCCGAGGCCCCATCCCACCCTCTGCAGAATTCTGCTCTCTCTGTGGTGTCTCCTGCGGGCCTGAGTTTGGCCTCTGCACCAGCATGAGCTCAGTCCGAGGCTGGGTTGTCTTTTGGTTTTTTGCTTGACTGCTCTCAAAGCTCAGGGCTCTCGCTGGGAGAGCTGGTCCTTACCCTCCTTTTGTGGGCACACCGCGGCTGAAAGTGGGGGGCGGTGGAGTCGTTTGCCTGCACTTGGTGTCTGTTGGGACTAGAGGTAGGACTGGAATCCAGGTAGTCTGATTCGGTGGTCTTCAACCTGCTCCCACCTCCTGTCACTGGCCCACTGGCTGGAATTTGAAACGGGTGCTTCTAAGTGGCAATGCATTTTTCAGACAGGCAGGGAGTTTCTGTGCCCCAGTCCTAATCTATAGATGAGTGGTCGGCCTTTGATTTGTTCAAGGACCTGCCATTCAGTGCTGGGGGTGGATCTGACCACCACTTCTGATGCTGCCTGGGGTCAGGGGTGCTGCGGGACCACCTGGTCTATACCCAGCACTGGGGCAGCTATGTGGCCCCAGGGATTGCGCCCAGGGCCTTCATGTGTGGGCAAAACACGTGCTCCAGCCCTTTGAGCTATTTTCCCAGCTCCTACTGTCGTCTTCATCCACTGAGGCCAGGCTTCTTGCTTGAATCCCCCCACCCACCCAGAAAACTCCAGGATTGGGGGTCTCCTCCAGGCTGGCCTCGGTGATTCTTCTCTGCTCCATACCAATGCTCTCTGCACTCAGTTCCCCTGGCACTGCGCCACACCCCCGCCCCTCAGTTTCCACCTTCACTTGAACCCAGGTTCTATCCACAGCTGGATGCTGCCCGGGGGGGCTACAGACCAGCAGGGAGCAGGGATGGCCGACTGGGAAGAGATCCAATGCTTGAGGGGGCCTGTGAGCCCACCTTCTCTTGGTCCCTGAAGGGCCTGTGGGCTTGTTTGTGGCCCAGCAGGTGGCCATCTGCGGCCTCTGGCCCTCGGAGAATTGCTCTCTAGTGCCGCCTCGTTGAGGAGAGAAGGCCGTCTGTGTCTGCAGACACTCTAAGGATGACTAATGAGTCATAGGCGAGTGTCTGAGGAGCAGCCCAGCACCCCAAGCTCCCTCACAGGGCTGCAGAGACACAGGGGCCCAGGGGCCCTCAGCCCGGAGCTCTTTCCTCCCTTCAGGCTCCCCAGCCTTGGGTGCAAAGGAACAAAGGAATTAAGAGGGAGTTGTGGCCTCGAGGGTCTTTGGCAAATTTGTTGTGGGCTGGAGGGTCAAGAGAGGAGTGGACATTGTTTTGTGATTAAACAGGTCATTTCTGGACCAGAGAGATAGTACAGCAAGCAGGGCTTGCGCCTTGGATGCAGTTAACCCAGGTTCTATTCCCGGCACCCCATATGGTCCCCTGGGTACCAGTACAGAGCCAGGAGTAAGCCCTGAGCATCGCCGGGTGTGGCCCTAAAACCTACATAGATAAAATAAAAAGGTCGCTTCTGGGCTTGGATTCAGGCTGGTGATGGGAAAGCTGTGTCGCCAGGGGAGGCAGGCTTGGGTGAGAGGGACCTGGCTCCCTTCCAAGGGTGAATGCTTCCTGTCCTGCCCTGGGTTGGCTTCCAGAAAGTGCTTCTGGAGCAACTGCCTGGGCCTTGTGCTTTGTGGAAGGAGGACAGTGGTCAGGGCTGAGGGACGTGGAGTAGAGACCAAGGCCCAACATTTGCTATTCATTCCTGAGCACAAACCCCATCCCTGTCTATTGGTAACATTTTGAGAAATAGAGAAAGATGATAAAATAAAGATGATAAAAATCACCAGCAATTCTACCACCTACAGATTACGCTTAACATTTTGGTGTTCCAGAAAAATTTTCCACACGTATATATATAGATATATTATTTTTACATTGCCGAGAACGTCTCTGGTTTTATGTCCTGTTTTCTTCATCCCATGGTATGAGAAGCATATCCCCATAGCAATAAAACAATCTTCTGAGGATTTTTATAACATAAGTATCTTTATAATATTGGATTAATCTTTTTGTGAATTCTCAACTGAAGCCCCCGTCCCCTGGGAAGTGGTGAGGCCCCGAGCTGGGGGTTCAGTGGGGCAAACCGTCTTCCCATCGCTCACGGTCCAGGGGGTCTTCCTGGGCT